TGCTGGGCTCCAGAGATCCTTCCACCTCAGCCTTCCAAGTAGCCGGAACTACAGGCGCATGTTACCACACCTGGCTAATTTTTTATTTATTGTAGACATGAGGTCTCGCCAAGTTGCCCAGGCTGGTCTCGAACCCATGGGCTCAGGCAATCCACTCGCCTGGGCCTCTCAAAGTGCTAGGATTACGGCTGAACCACTGAGCCCGACCAAGTCTCGTCGTCAGAGGCAAGACAGCCTGTGTGACTCCGTATGACAGAACACATTTTCTCCAGAAGCTTCCCAAGCAGAGCTCCTCTCACATCTCACTGGCCAGAAACGGTTTCTGCCTATTCCAGAACTAGTCAATGGCAGGGCAATGGAATCACCACGGTTGGCTTAGGTGACTCAGGCTCTGTCCCTAGACCTGGAGACGGGACACTTTCCCTGTGTCACTCGGTGATCTCAATAAAATCGAGATTCTGTAGTAATGAAAAGGGGGAACTGGTTGATGGCTAGGCAGACAAGAATACACACTTCTGCTCTTGTCAGAGTGTCCTGACGTGGTATGTTTTTGCAGCCCAGAGTCCTTGTTCAGCAAGGACAGCTCACCCCTGGAGTCCTCAGGACTGGAGGGGCTGAAAGAACAGTGGTGCATCAGAGGCTAGGGATGAGGACTGGCCTTGGGGCCTGGGAGCTCAGGCCCCAAAGGTTATCTGAGAAGGGCAGAGAGGACATGTGTAGTTAGAGAAATCTTACCTGCTGAGTGTCAGTGATGGGCATGAGCCTGAGGGATTGTGGCAGGACTGGAACCTGGGAAGGGAAAACTGGGCGTATGCAGTGGGCGTGGTCTATCTAGATTTCCCAAGAGAGAACGGTGGGCCCCAGCCTCAGTCTCCACCTCGGCACAGCCTTCCGTGGCTCTGTGCACAGGCACTGCCTGAGTGCTTCCTAAGTACCAGGCCTGGGCTAGGTACTCTAGGGGCTGAACACAGCAGTTAAGTCACCAACTCTGATATCACGTAAGGTAGAATAACAGGGCACAGAGGTGGAAGTACGTGAGGACTGTGCTGTGGAGAATCTTGAGTGCCAAGGTGAAGGGTTTGGTTATTCTTAGGCAATGGGGTGTCATTGATGGTTCTTAAGTAAGGGGATGCTCCATGACAGAGATCTGGCAGCTGTGTGAAGGATGGAATGAGTTTCCAGAAGCAGCCTAGCTGTCAGGGTTGTCCCTCTGGGGATGCATCCGGCCGTAAAGTGACTGGCTTAAGCAGTGAAGTGAGTTTGTTGATTTGTTTAACTGGAGAATTCAGACAAGTTGAACTTTAGGTTTGGCTTAACTCGGTGGCTTTATAATGTCATTGCATACTCAATTGCTTTTGTCTCTCAGCTCTGTTTCCCGGTTATCAGCTTGATGTTTGGACTGCTTGTCTCCCCTTATGACAGTGACCTCAGAGCCCATTGACAGTGACTCCTCTCTCCTAGGGGGAGACTGAGTGGATTCTGGAGGTGTGTGAGGGGGCACAGGGGATCACAGAGTGGTACGCTCTGTGGAAGGGCGAAGAATTCATCATCAGTTTATGGCATTAGATATAGGTGACTGGCTCACGCCTGTAATCCCAGCACTTTGGGAGGTAAAGATGAGAGGATTGCCTGAGCCTATAGTTCAAGACCAGCTTGGGCAACATAGCAAGACCTCATGTCTACAATAAATCAAGTTAGCTGGGCATGGTGGCGCGCGCCTGTAGTTCCAGCAACTTGGAAGGCTGAGGTAGAAGGATCACCTGAGCCCAGGTCGAGGCTGCAGTGGCTGTGAGCGTACTGCTGCACTCCAACTGGGGCTACAGAGTAAGACTCCAACTAAAAAAAAAAAAAAAAGATCCTTAGTGATGGAGAAGATGGTCATGGTACGACAAGCAACAATGGAACATTCAGAAAAAGATGTACAAGTTTGAGAAAAAAGAGACTGCGTTCAGATCGTTCATGTTGAAATGGAGGTGCCCATGCATGTCAGGAGGAAACACCTGACACTAGATATATGAGCTTGGACTCAGAGGAGAGCTCAGGGCCAGAGAGAGATACATGGAAGTTCTTGGCATGGAGGTGGCAGTAGGTAGGGTGGGAACACAGGACACTGGGGAGAAAGAGGGACCAGAAGGAACTCCAGCTTTAAAAATATGGGCATGAAAATGTGATTCTCTCTGTTTCAACAAAACCTTGCTGAAGACTCCAGTTATCTCAGTGATAGGTGAGAGTAACTGGTAGTGAGTCAGCATCACCAGTGCTACCTCCCCACCTATGTCCCATTAGTCAGCCTGCACACATTTATCAAGCACCTCTGCTAGGTCCCAGGCTTTGTAGAGATACACCTATGCGGAGAACATGGTCCCAGAAGCCGTGGCTTTCAATATTAGGGCATCTCCACTCATTCTCGACTATTCACTGAACACCTGTATGCCAAGGATTATGCAAGAAATGGGGACAAGATGGTGAACACAGCCTGGGCTCTCTTGAGCTGAGGCTGAGCCACCATCAGATGGGAGGCTTTCCAGTGGAGACTGTGTCTCCCTCTGTCCTTGACATTGATTCTCTGGTTGCCAGCACAAGCCCTGTTACCAGGAGGGTGGGCTGTTTTTATTTTCAACATTTCCATGACACGGGTTCAGTGGGCTTTTTTCCTTTGACTCCTTGCCCTCTGGAGACAACAAACCCTTAGCTGGTGGGGGTGGCAGGCATTCATGGGTTGAGAGCCAACCCCTGGCCCTTTATTTCCCAGCATTCTGTGTCCTTCTTTTTTTTTTTTTTTTTGAGTTGGAGTTTCACTCTGTCGCCCAGACTGGAGTGCAGCGGCCGCTCCCGGCCACCGCAGCCTCGACCTGCCGGGCTCTGGCTGGGCTCCAGGGATCCTTCCGCCTCAAGATCGCCTCAGCCTTCCGAGTAGCCGGAACTACAGGCGCGCGCTACCACGCCCGGCTGATTTTTTGATTTATTGTAGAGATGAGGTCTCGCTGCCCAGGCGGGTCTCGAACCCGTGGGCTCAGGCAATCCACTCACCTCAGCCTCCCAAAGGTGCGGGATTACAGGCTCTGTGTCCTTCTTTATCACCATGTCCTGGGAATCTGTCTTACACCCACAGTCGGTGGTACCTTGTATAGCACCCATTCCGTAATGAACTTCTGTCAAAAGAGCTAAAAGGGTCTTCTTCCTTCAGTCCTACATCTGTTGAGTGATTGAAATAGAAGAAGAGAAGCAGGCCCCATCTATCCTTCAAACTCCTGTAGCATTTACCTTCTGTGCTGCTCTGTGCCAATCCGCACTGAGGCACTGACGTAAGGTATTGTCCAGATGTCTGCATATTGTGTTTGTGCCAGGCACTGTGCTGTGCCTTTGACATAACATATCTCATTTAATCACCACAAATACTCTATGAAGTGGCTTATATTTTTATCCCCATTTAACAGATGCAGAAATCAAGGTTTGGAAAGACTGACTGTTCTGGCCAAGGTCACATAGCCAGGGAGTAGCAGGCTTAAGATTGGGCCAAACCTGTTGGAGTCAGGAGCCCAGTTCTGAACGCATATAGCATCTCAAGGTTGGTCCCGACCACCTGCTTTGGACTCATCTGGGGTGCCTGTGCCTCCTTCTCCAAGGTTCTGATTCATCAGGTCTGGCATGGTGCTACTAATCTGGTTTTGCAAAAGCCCTCCCCTGATTTTGATGTACTCTAAACTTGAGAACTGTGCCTCCTCTGCCTGCCTCCTGGCTTTTTTTCTTAATTCTTTTTTTTGGTGACCCATAACTCACAAAAGTGTATATAAAACCTAAATGTGTAGTTCAAAGAATAACCATAAAGTCAGACCCATGTGACACCCACTCAAGTTAAGAAACAGAACATTGCTAGTTAGTGCCTTAGCAGCCTCCCTGGTGACTCTATCCACTCATGGTCCCTTCTCTTTTTTTTTTTTTTTTGAGTAGGCGTCTCACTCTGTCACCCAGACTGGAGTACAGCGGCCGCTCCCGGCCACTGCAGCCTCGACCTGCTGGGCTCCGGCGATCCTTCCGCCTCAGCCTTCCGAGTAGCCAGAACTACAGGCGCACGCTACCATGCCCGGCTGGTTTTTGATTTATTGTAGAGATGAGGTCTCACCAAGTTGCCCAGGCGGTTCTCGAACCCACGGGCTCAGGCAATCCACTCACCTCAGCCTCCCAAGGCGCGGGATTACAGGCTGAGTCACCGAGCCCGGCTCCTTCTCTTTCTTAGAAGTAACTCCTAGTTGTTTGTGACCACCATTCCCTTGCTTTTCTGTAATGATTTTTTCAACTTTGTGTTCATTCCTTGACAGTATGAGTCTTGTCCATTTGTGAACTTCACGCAGATAGACATGTGCCTTACCAGCTCTAGTCTGTCTGCTTCTTTTCCTCTGCATTCTTGCGAGATTCATCCATGTTGTTGCACGTAGGGATGGGGGGGTCATTTTTACTGCTACTGCAACCTCCTTTAGAAAGCCTTGTCTTACGCTGATTTGTATCCTTTAGAGTGCCTAGCACAGGGCTGAAAATGCAGCAGCTGCTCAGTAAAGACCTGTTGATTAGATCGGGGAGGAAACCCCCAAGCAGCAAGGTAAGGATGTTGTTGAGAACAAGCGTGAAGGGACTCTCCCTGGTGGCCCCCATGAGCAGTCTGCCTTCATCTTTCTCTCCTGAGTCTCTGCCTGTTGCTTTTCTGGCACGGGCACTCTGAAATGTTTCCATCTCCCTGTAAAGTTAATCCCCATCTGTGTCTCTTTTCAGAATGCCGAACTGGGGAGGAGGCAAGAAATGTGGGGTATGCCAGAAGACGGTTTACTTTGCCGAAGAGGTTCAGTGCGAAGGCAACAGCTTCCATAAATCCTGCTTCCTGTGCAGTGAGTGTACCCTGGGCCCTGTTCCTGTTGCCATGGACACTGAGATGGGCCTGCCCCCACAGGCTGGACCTGTCAACACCCCAGGGAACTGGTCCCATGGGATGTAAACAGCTTGACATTTGGCTGATGCACAGCTGGGGAGGGAAACACTTAAGGGCCTCTTTGTTCCGTTCAGAAGCTGCTTTCTAAGGGATGAACTGGCCAGAGCTGGTGGGGGTGGCAGGCGTTCAGGGGTTGAGAGCCAAGCTGTAAAGACTTGGTTAGGAAAACTTTCCACTCAGCTCTCTCTCCCTTTTCTCCCTGCCATAATCCCATCGCTTCAGAGGAAGACACAGTTAGCCTACAGTTTTACTAGCCTTGGGACCCAAATAACCCCTCGTTAAAAGGCAACTGAGGGTGAAGCTGAGACTAGAAGAAGAGCAGGGTTCCTCCTTCCTCACCGCTTTTTGGCTAGCTCGTGTACCTCTCTCACTTCCTATTCCTACTCAGCCTGGGATGAGAGGAAGGAGCACAGAGTTTCATACCTACTCCTAAGACTCCAAAGCAAGATTTGCTCCAGTCAAAAGTCTGGATGCGTATGAAACCAGGCAAAAGACACTAAGCAGGTAGACTCAGTGTTCCTAACGCCATGATGCTGCCCTGGCTGGTACCTGGGCCAGGTGATGTCTCCAGGGAGTGGCAACTTGGAGAAACCTCTCCTCGATTCCTAAATGATCTGGTTAGTTGTGATCAGAGTAGAAGACCTGGGTTAGAAGAAGAGGCAACTTCAGTAAGATGCATATTCCTTGAGGGCAGGCAAGGCGTGGAAGGGAATAGAATGTCTTAGTTAACCTCCAGGTTTCAAAGTCAGTCTGATCAGGATTTGAATCTAAATCCAGTTTTTATCATCTGTCTGATGCTAAGCAAGTTACTTATTTTCTCAGAGAAACTCAACTCAGAGAGTTGAGTTTTCTCAGTATTACAGTGGAGGTAATGCTTACCTCATGGGGTTGCTGTGAGAATTAAAGTGAAAGGAGCTTGTAAAATAAATAAACACTTAAAGCAATTGTGAGTGTTCCATAAATCTTATACACACACACACACACACACACACACACACACACACACAGAACTGAGGGATCTATAGCAAGAGAGTGCGATGCAAAGAAAACCTCACAGGGAGCTGAAGTCCCAGCTGATCTGGGAGGTCCAGGAAATGGGGTCCTGTCCATCCCACATCACTTGAAGCCAAGTCAAGAGACCTAAGGTTCCTTGGCGACCAGGTGATTTGTGTTCCAGAGAAGGATTCAGATGGGCCAAGGGCCACCTGTTCACTGGATGTTCACCACATCTCTACCAGCCTGAACCCATCCAGCACAGAGCAGCAGGGGCCCCACACCCTTCCCAGCCAGGTCTGGAGTGACAGCCCCAGGGCTGCATGTGAAGAATGGAGAGTTAACAAGGTTTGGTGGAGCTTTGTTGGCTTCCAGACTGCAATGGAGGCCAGAAACAACAGCGTCTTGTTATCAGCAGTTCATTATACTTAGTAATTTTCAAGCCGTTTATTTTTTCAGAGGGAATAAAAGAGGGTTTTGCACTCACTGGGAAGAGAGTTGAAGACCTCACTGCTGGGGTCCTAAGGGTTCCTCTCTTTGCCCTCAGACATTGCTTAATCACTGACTAAAAGAGGCCAGCTGTGGCTGAGTGCGCCTGCCTGCAGACCTGCATGTGGAGGAGTAGTCATAGTTCAGGGAAGTCAGGAATGCAGGGGGTGGCATGGGAAGGAAGGAGCAGGACCTAGGGCAGGGTGTGAGGGGGTGCTGAGGACTAGAAACAGTTGCAGTAAGTCAGACTGGGGAGCAGGGCTGAGGGTCATGTTATGCAACTGATAGTCATAGGGGACCGTCTCAGGTTTCTCTGAGGTCTCAAGGCCAGTGCATTCCTGAGCTCTAAGTGAGCCCCTCAGCACCAGAGCACTTTCCCCAGCAGTCTGAGGCATCGCCAAACTTGTTTATCCTAATGCCTGGAACAGCACCTGGCATGTAGTGAGTTATTTTTTTGCTGAAGTGGGTGCTAAGTGTTCAGCTTGAATTCTGGGTAACCCACAGAATCAAAGGACTTTCCCTCCAGAGGAAAGGAGGGGCCAACAGGATCTGGGCCTGGGAGACAGTCAGGGCCATCTCCCTCATTGGCTGGGCCTGGGTGGGTCTCCGAAAGAAGATCTTCTGACCATATGGGTTCTTGGCTTTGAATTCTTCTACTCAGCAGGCCCACCTACCTTCCCTTTCCAGAGGGTGTGCATGGGCAGGAAGAAGACAGCATGATGTGATATGGACTTGGCCTTTGCCCTGGGAGCAGGGATAGAGAGGGCCTGTAGTATGTGGTCATGCTCTCTGTAGGGGCTGCCAGTTCCCATTAGCAGGCTGGTAGGAGAGCTCAGTTCTGTGGCGGGGAACCTGTCCTGAGGCCATATGCCCACCTCTGAGCTGTGACCAGCTTCCTCCTGGGGCAGATTGGGTTTGAGCAGCCAGCCCCGTGGGAAAGAAGAGCTAGTCTGTCCTGTCCCTGTGGTGGAGGCTGATGGAATGGGCCTAGCAGGTTTGCCCCGGGCTGTTCTGTAGAATCCCAGAGCACAGGGAAAGCTCACAGAAGCCTTGCTTGCCCTCAGACACCATTGTCTCCTCCCCACAGACTAAGGTTGACTGTCAGTTCTCACCTTCCTGGCCCTGCATGCTTGGCCTACTCTAGAGGAACCAAGAGTGGGCAGAAATCAACCAGGCTTGGAAGTCAGTGGTGGGTTCTGACCTGGCCCTGCTTCTGGCTGATTATGTGATCTTGAACTTCTTTGTGGGCTTCAGTTTTCACTTCAGAGGCAGAGAGAATTACTCTCCATTTCTGAGTGGGGCGAAGGGACTTTGACCTCTCCTCTAGGGCTGCCTCTTCTCTGCATTTCCAGATAGCATCACAAGGTCCCACCAGATCAGGTGGCCTCCCAACAGATGGACTAACGAATCCGATCTTATCATGACTTGGTAGAAATTTATCCAGGCCTTCCTTCAAAATTCCCCGAATTAGTCTTTGATGGACCTTACCGGTCGCCTAAGAGTCTTTGACTACACCACCTGGATGGAGGTAGGAGGCAGACATCCACCGTGGGCAGGACTCGAGCCTCTGGGAGAAAAAAGGGCCAAGGCAGAGCAGAAGGGAGCAGGGAGGTCTTGGCAAGGTAGACATCTGGAGGATGTCAACTTGTAGGCTCTGATGTCTCCTTTGGGCTGAGTTCCTAGGTCTTCCACAGGAGAAATCAATCAAAAGAGACCTCTGTTCCATCTTATCTCTGCTTTCTGCCTCTGCTCTGGTCTTGGAATTTCCAGTTCTATTTGGGTCTAACAGAGAAACAACCTCAGGCCAATTCCTGACTTCCCACCCTAGAAGGGAATGTTGGCGTCCTGAGCTTGGTGTTCCCTCTCCCTCCTTCCCAGAGCCAAACCCCAGGGGAAGTGGTGGGAAATTCCATATTAGGGTGACCCAGAGACTTGGAATGAAAAGGAGATCTCCAGGGCAGGACAGGATGGTCCTTATTTAGTCTGAAGTCTCCAACCTGGGGCTCAGGGTGAGCGAGGAGCTGGCGGAGGGCTGGACCCTTTGAAGGCAAGAGGATGGCATTTGCAGGGAGCTGAGTGCCTTCCTTGAGGGAGATAAGAGGCATGGTTTCCCCCTCGGATTCTATCCACATGGCATGTTTGAGGCTGCAGTCCAGATGAGTACACTGAATGCCAATATTTAAGAAATTTTATTGAACCAAATTAGGATTACAGGACAAGGAAAGAGTTTGAAGTAGAGAGGAATATTTGGGGGTTAGAAGCAATAACCTCTTGAGGTTGGTGCCTGTCACTCACCCTCCCTTGTCTCCCAGTGGTATTAACTTCATATAATACTAATAAGAGTAGCTGACATTTATTATGCACCTATTGTGTGCAGAGTATTGTACTAAGTACTTCACATGTAAGATGTCATTTGATTCTCACAACCACCTCTGGGGCATACATTATCATCTGCATTTACAAATGAGGACAGGGAGACTGGAAAGGCAAAATAGCTTGCACATAACTGGAAAGGAAGAGAGCTGGGGTTTAATTCTCAGCAGTCTGACTTGACAGGAATCCCAGGCTCTGAACTGTTTTATACTGGGCTCCCCTCTGAGATTAACAGGAAGCTACGTGAGGCCCACAGGCTTCCTAGCTGGATCCCATTCCAATCTCTTTTACCCCAGGAATCGGGAAATTCGTTTCAGTGTGTGACCTCACTTCTTCCTGTGACAAAGTGATTTCTGAGATTAGAAACTTCAAATCCTGTTGTAATTAGCATGACCTGCATCTCATTTCAAAGCTTGCCATGTTGGGCACTTAATAAATTTTAAGCTTTTTTGTTCTTCTGGGTGTATCACTTCCTCTTCCTTTTCCCTCTTAGCTCCCCCCAGCACGCACAGACAGTCTCTTTTGGACTCCATTGTTGGAGGCCTTTCTTTTTTCTTTTCTCCTATTGGGACACATGGTCTCCGTTGAGGGGAGAGTGGAGATCCTCAGCAAGTGTCCTGTGGCTTAGGGTCAGCCTAGGCTGTTGCCTCTGAACCTGGGGTGTCCTGCAGCCTGAGGAGGTACAAGGGTGCAGACGGAAGAGGGAAATGCACACAGATTCCTGGAAGATGTGGCCTGCCAGCATTTCTAGAGTCGGGCATGCGGATCCAGTCCCTCTGTCCTCCAGCCCATTGGCCACCCCATTTGCCTCAATTTCTAGGCTGCTCCCGAATGATCAGGATATTATGTGTGCAAAGTGCTCAGAGAGCTTCAGCTTTAGGGGACTTGCAGTTCACCCCAGCTTCAACTCATTATCCCACCTTCGTCCACAGTGGTTTGCAAGAAGAATCTGGACAGCACAACTGTGGCCGTGCATGGTGAGGAGATCTACTGCAAGTCCTGCTACGGCAAGAAGTATGGGCCCAAAGGCTACGGCTATGGGCAGGGCGCAGGCACGCTGAGCACTGACAAAGGGGAGTCTCTGGGCATCAAACATGAGGAGTGAGTACCAATCCTCTCCCACCCCTTGCTCTCTCTCTGCCCTTCTTGTCCCCTGTATTGGACACATTTCCAACCACTTTTGTATAAGCAGTGGAAAACTCAGAAAGCCATGTATTAAAAAGGTAGTCATAGAGCACCCGCTATGTGTCAGCCTTCTGGGGAAGCTGGGGATTCAGTAGAGAATAAAACAGGCCATGTCGAGCATGGTGGCTCATGCCTGTAATCCCGTAACTTTGGGAGACTGAGGCAGAGGATTGCTTGAATCCAGGTGTTTGAAACCAGCCTGGGCTACATAGCCAGACTTTGTTTCTACTCCCCCCAAAATTGACCATTTGTGGTGGTGCACGCCTATAGTCCCAGCTACTCAGGAGGCTAAGACGAAAGGATCACCTGAGCCCAGGAGGTCGAGACTGTGATGAGCTATGATTGTGCCACTGTACTCCAACCTGGGTGACACAGTGAGACCCCGACTCATTCAGTCAATCAATTAATAAAAAATAATAAACAAACAAACCGGCCAGGCCAGTGGATGCATGGAGTGTGCATCTTATATTTGTATAAAGGTCAGTGCTGGGAGGGACCCCAAAAGTACTTAGTCAAATTTCCTCTTTTTATAGATGAGAAAATCCAGCCCAGTCTCAAGGACTTGCCTGGGGTCCCACGGCTAGTGAGTGTCTGAGCTAAACCAGGGCTCAGGGCAGCACCACTGCCATATCAGCCTTGCTCTCAGCCTGCCACCTCTCACCTCTGCCGAGGGCAAGTCATTGGGAAATGCTGCAGGGTATCATTGGGTGTCCCCGCCCTCATCCCACAGCACTCCCCTGGCTTCTGATCTGCTGGTAAACGGTGGCTGTTGGCAGTCAGCCTGGCCGGCTCCTCGGCCCTGGAGGATGAGCAGAAATGACAGATGAGTTACCAATTTCAGCCAAGGTCTTTGCCCCAGTGGGAATGATTTGTCAGCAGATTTCTCCTGGAAAGAATCTGATAATAGACCAACTGCAGGAATGAGGGGCAGAGGAGGGCAATTCTTAGCAAATGAGGTGTTAAGCAATTCTGGGGTTTTAACTGGGTAATTGAGGGAAGTATGATGTTTCAATGAAAATACTGTGGTGCTGAGCCTTGGTTTGTCCATCTGTAAAATGGGAGCTGATCCTAGAGGCCCTAGCCTTTGTGACTGTGGTAGAGAAACCTGCCCCCTCATAGTGCCAGCCCAACCCATATTTCTCAGTGTAAGTCATGTCACTGGGCTTTCTTCCCCATGCAGGGCCCCGGGCCACAGGCCCACCACCAACCCCAATGCATCCAAATTTGCCCAGAAGATTGGTGGCTCCGAGCGCTGCCCGCGATGCAGCCAGGCAGTCTATGCTGCAGAGAAGGTGATTGGTGCTGGGAAGGTAAGGCTGCTGCTGGGCATGACGGGGAGAGGGAGGGAGACACCTTCCTGAAATGTGGTTCCAGAACTGTCCAAATGGTGACCCTAGCTTTACTCAGGGCAGCCTGAGCACTGGGCTTTTACCCCTTCCCTTCTAGAGAAGGAGTAACCTTTTATCCCTGTGGGTTGCTTGTCCCTGTGCCTTCCAGTGTGAGCCACTCACAACCCTCGTGAACAGCCCATCATCAATGCATTGCCTGTGGGCAATTCGTGGGGAGTTGCAAAGGTCGATCTATATCTCTAGGGTTGAGGACCACAGAGTCTAAGAGTGCATGAATGGGTTTCAGGGGGCCTCTACGACCTTCCTAAAATTATATGCAAAGTTTGTGAGAACAAGTCTCTTTCTGGGAAGAAGATAGCTTTTATCAGATTTTCAAAAGAATTTGTGATCTCCAATAATGGAACTACCCAAAATGTACATTTTGTTTCATGGAATGTGGACTCCCAGGGACCTATTCATATACCCCAGGACAGAGATTTTCAAAGTTCTTGGGAGGATTTTTCAAACTGTTTATAATTGCCATGCATGAACTTCCCCATAATATTCTCACAGTAACCCCCCCATCACCAATGCACAGTGAGAATCACCATAACGAGCCAACCGTTCCAAATTGAGCTAATCACATCTCCAATAGGCTGCAGTGGAGAAGAGGCAGGAGACTCCTGCCCAGGGGGTTGCAGTGTTAGACTGCAGTCAGAAAATCATAGAGGAGATATCTTCAAGTTGTAAGGCCAGAGAGGATTTCTGGATCATGACATGGGACCCAGGGTGGAGGAATGACTTGGCAAAGATCATATAATAAGTATGGAACGGCTAGGCCCAGAGCCCACCTTCAGCTCTTCTGGATTTGGGTGTTGGCTTTTTTTTTTTTTTGAGTTGGAGTCTCACTCTGTCGCCCAGACTGGAGTGCAGTGGCCGCTCCCGGTCACTGCAGCCTCGACCTGCTGGGCTCCGGCGATCCTTCTGCCTCAGCCTTCCAAGTAGCTGGAACTACAGGCGCGCGCTACCACGCCCAGCTAATTTTTTTTTTTTTTGATTTATTGTAGAGATGAGGTCTCGCCAAGCTGCCCAGGCGGGTCTCGAACCCGCAGGCTCAGGCAATCCACTCACCTCAGCCTCCCAAGGCGCGGGATTACAGACTGAACCACTGAGCCCAGCTGGGTGTTGGCTTTTAAGTTTGTTTGTTTGTTTTTTACTTTGAGGAATGGGATCAGGGGGAATGGGATGGGGAACTGTTAGGTCTCCAAAAATGTTTTGTCTGTGGGCCTGTGTGCTGAGCCAGTGCCGTGGACAAGATGCAAAGAATTGCACAGCAAATAGATGGGAAAATATAGTTTATTTAGAAAGTAGATTAGAGAGAGAGAGAGAGAGAGAGAGAGAGAGAGAAGATTCACCTCCCCATAGTAGGGGAGGGGGCCAAAGCCTAGGGAAGCAAAAGCATGGCCATGGCTGCTTGAGGTTGAATGCTTTTTAAATCTATCCTTTGGGGGGGCAGGTCGTGAAGGTGATTGGGTGATAGTCTGTCTTAAGTCATCATGAAGGGGCGGGCAGATGGGTGGGTTAGTCACATAACTGTTGCCATGGTGATGGGGTCTGTGTGTGTCATGTAGGGCACAAAGGGCTGCTTTATGTGATGGAGTCTGTCTGTGTTACATAGGTCATGAAGGGCAGCTTAAAATAGATTAGGTTGGCTGGGCTTGGTGGTTCATCCTGTAATCTCAGCACTTTGGGAGGCCGAGGCAAGTGAATTGCCTGAGCCCGCGTATTGTAGAGACGAGGTCTCGCCAAGTTGCCCAGGTGGGTCTCAAACCCGCGGACT